GGGTTTAGGGTTTAGGGGGGCTTAAAAAAGCGGGGGGGCCTTTTAAAGGGATCTCTAAGTACTAGACAATCCGGGTTTAGGGGGTTTAGGGTATGGGGCTTTAGGCTTTAGGGCTTTGGAGCTCGAGGTTTTTGGGATTTAATGTCATTTTAGGGGTCCTGAGAAAAGAGGCTCTTAAGCAATGAGGCTTTCCTTCTAGTGTTGCTGTATGGGTTTAGGGTTTCTGGCGCTTTCTTTGGCTCCGTTGGTTTCCTTTTTGGGGTCCCTCATATGCTTTTTTTCCAAGAGTTCATGGATCCCTCTATGCGGAATAGAGCTGGGAGCTTGGGGGGGCTTAGTGTCCATGTGGGGCTTCGACCTGCTACGGTTTCCAGAGGTCTCAAAGAGGTGGGATGAAGGTACCATTTATGGGGGGGTTTCCGAAAATAGGGGGACCCTAATATAGAGTACCCTAAATAGTAGGATCCTTGTTATAAGGACCCCAAAATAAGGTACCCCCTAATTTTCGGAAAGTACCATCTCCCCACCTACTGTCATCTCACCTCCTGAGCTCATTGTGCCTTGCAGGGTAAGTCGTTGAACAGTCCACATCGGGTTTCCGGGTTTGCAAGGCTTTGAAAGGTTCTGTTTCGACTTTAAGATTCTTTATAAAAGGTGATGTAGTTGAAGGCTGAGGGTTAAGAAGAAGGTTGCCCTTGCTTCTGTAGAGGGCTGATGCCAAGTCTTGAATCTTCAGGCATGTCGCGGTTTCTTCTAGGGGGGACACGGGGGTTTAGGTTAGCTTACTTTGTATTGTTGTAGAGCTCTTTCTAGTGCTGCTATCCCTAACAGCCTTGGGTTGACAGTGCCTAAGTTGAATCCTTCTGCGGCTCCTGTAACCTTCTTTTGCAATTGTTTTCGGCTCTCTTTCGGAATGATTGTAGGGATTTAGGGCACTTACAGATTGTGGAGTTTACCTTCTTTGCCTACTTTTGGGGCTCCCTTTCCTAAGGGATTCCTGATACCTTCCTTGCCTACTTTTGGGGACTCCCTTTCGGAAATATTATATAGGGATTTCGGGCGTGTCAGGGCTTTTTACTCGGTGCCTTGCAGGACTTTTCCCCTGTCAGGGTCTGGTCCAAGGCTTTTTGCCCCTCTGCAGGGGGGCTCTGCAGGGTTTCGACTGCAGGGGCCTTTGCAGGGTTTAGGGTTTATAGGGCTTGTAGGGTTTATAGGGTCTTTAGGGTTTTGAGGGTTTATAGGGTTTATAGGGTTTAGGGTTTCGGGTCTGCAGTTTTTACGATGAACAAAGCAGCAGTGCTTTAAGGGTAGGGTCGTAGATCCCTCGCCACGAGAAGTCTATCTGTCGCAGATGAGAACCGAGAGAGCTCGTGGCCTCCGAAGAGATTGTTGTAGTGCTTGCAGCACCTCAGATGGAAAGAGGGGACATGAATAGGAGTTAGGATTAGGGGTTTAGGGTTTAGGGTCTAAGGAGATGGAGAGGGGGCATGAATAGGAGTTAGGATTGGGGGGAGCCTTGGGGATATAGACCCTCTCAGTATGAGGTTCTTTTTTAACAGAGCGCCGCACATGTAGGGTTAAGAAGAAGGGTCCCCTTTAAAGGGTCTCCCTAATACGGACCTAGGAGTGAAGAGCCAGTAGGCAGGGATTGTGGCAGGGGCCTGAGGATACTTCGACGAGGCTTCCTTGCTTGGGGTATTTGTATGCTTTGTTACGTTGTTTGTGGCTATGTCTCGCCTTACAAAGGGGATGTCATTGCTACGCCTTCTTCTCGTAGAGGTCCCTAAACCCCTAAACCCCTAGACCCTAAACCCAAGTGAAAAGCAGAGCTAAAAGAGCTGCAATCGACGGGCCACCATTTGGTCGGTGTCTTGTGGCCGCCCGGGACGGAGCCGCAGTTCATGGGGCCGTAAAGATGATACATCCTCAGCCCAGCGGACCCCAAAAATATGCCTTCCGTGGGACGCTGATTGTGTGGATTATTTGACGCCTTTTGGGGAAGACGGTCAAGTCCGATGGAAGGGCCGAGGAAGCGACGGAAGGCTTGCAGGCATCACGAGCGCTCGAGCTCATCACATCCCCCAGTCCCCAAACCCCAGGACGTTCTGAGAAGCGAGCTCTCTTTCAAGCTGCACCTGAATTCCTGAACTGAACCCTGAACCCTGAAACCTGAGATATGAACCCAAACAGTCCTACAGAGCCAATCGTAGCCTCGACGCCGGTTTCCCCAGGCGTAGTGGACGATAAAGCGGTAGAAGTCGCGCCAGAGAAGGGAGTTAATCAAGCCTTTGGCGCCTTTGCCTGAGCTCGCTGGGGCTTTTTTTGCCAGTGTAGCTCTCGAAAGCTCGCTAACCTAGTCCGCCAAACAGGAACTCTAAGCAAATGCTAGTAAACCCTAAACCCTAAAACCTAAAGGCTTCAAGGTTCTGTCCTCCTTTAGACCGCACCACGGCAGCCTCTTGCAGAGACCTACCCTCAGCGACATCTGGCTCAAGCAAGTACTTGAGCCATCTTGGATACAATTTGAGGCTTCGTTCTTTACCTTTAGAGGGATTCTCACTTTGGTGTACAGGCACCCTACACCCTAAACCTAAACGCATAGGGCACAGGGCTTCATCGCGCTGTATGTGGGCTGTCCAACTTCACAGTTCTGCCCAAACCTTCGACCGCTAAACCTTCAACCCTAAACTCGGTAAACATCTGCACAAATCCTATCCGAATCCAAATCTACCAGCAGTATACGCCCTTCAGACATCTATGCCTCCAAGCCTAAAACTAAACAAGCTAGTATAGCACCACCTTTCCAAGAGCTTTAAATTTAGCTGGAAGGCAGCGGTCTCCCTTCTCGAATCGCTGGATCTCCCAGTAAAGCAGGCGGGGAGACAAGCAGCCAAAGGCCAAGTAGGGAGATAACCTTCAGCTAAGGCGGAGTGTGTCTAGGGTTCTGGAGGGTTTGTATAATAAGGGGTTCAACAACGCTTGCTACAGAGGGCTTGTGTACTGGCTTTATATGGAGTTCTTCAAGACTTTTCAAAATTTAGGGCTTTGTGTGAGGGGTGTCTTCTTTTCAGAATAGCGTCTGGGGTATCTGGTTGTGGACATATGTCTACAGACTATCGAGGAATTGCGTGAATGCGAAATATTCAGACCCCCTTGATACGGCACGGAAAACAAGCGACACGGTCTCTTTGGTGGGTTGAAGGCGGCCAACATCATTACCCCCTTATGCGGGGAATCCATGGCTTAAGTAACTAGGCTGGCCCCCCTTGAAACCTCTGAGAAATGTTCTCACACCAGATCCTCCTACGCCCAATAAGGGACAAGATAAAATGTCCCGCAAGGGGCTGTAGGTAACACCGGAAATTCCTTGATCCGGTGGATCCTCTGCGCACTCCGAGGCTTTCAGCAAGGAAGCTTGGAGGTTTGGTCGTTGGGAGCCGTGCACTTGCCGTTGGCGGTCCAATCTGTGGTGCCCACATACTGCTTCAGGGCTCGGCGCTCCCAGATGTAAGCCTCAGGTTGCGACGGAGAGGCACTTGGGTTGAACATGCGCACCTCAGCTTCTGAGCTTTTGAAGACGCCTGCGCCTTATAACGTACGTGTGGTCTCCCAAAGCAATTGGATTTCCTGGCATCCAAATTCCTGAATCACCCTGACTTTCCTCGAAGCCTTGAGGCCAAAGGCAGTCTATGCATACTGCTGATGGTATAAATCCTGCATTACCGTCAGGACCCTAAACTCTGGGAATTATGGTATAATAATCCTTACTATGGGTAATGCTAAGGATTTATATCTGTGCATATCTTCGTGTGAAGCCCACTAAACCCTAAACCCTGTAAACCCTAAATCGGGTGGCCTGAAGCCGGGCCAGCGCCAAGCTCTCCCCACCGCGCCAGGGGATCGCGGAGAGGCTGCGCGCCTCCTAGGTCTACGTCGCCTACGGGTTTGTGCTTTGGGGTTTAGGGTTTAGGGCTTACGGTTTGGGGTTTAGGGTGCTTTTCGGTGAGGCTGAGGCTTTTGGGTTCCTGGCCGGAAATTCCTGGAAAGCGCGCCATTCATTTGCCTTCCTGCTCGGCTTCTTTATGGACTTCCTGCTCGGAGTCCTGCGGAAGGTTGAAGAGGTCAGGGTTAGCCATAGGCTCCACAGTAGTTCCGTTTTGTGGTTTATATTTAGGATCCTATAAGGTAATCCCGAAAAGGAACTACTATGGAGCCTTTGGGTAGGGCATCGGTTGATCTGGACCGAGTATTTTCCTCACCCCGAGTGTCAAATCCAAGAACGACAGTGAGAAATCCGAACCCTAAACCCAAAGCCCTAGACCCTAAGCCCCAAGCCCGAAACCCTAAACCCGAAGCTCCAAACCCAAAGCCCTAAACCCTAAGCCCTAAACCCTAAGCCCCTAAGCCCTAACTAAGCCCTAGACTCCAACAAGCCCTAATAAACCCCTAAACCCTAAACTCTAAACCCTAAACCCCTAAACCCCTAAGCCGTAACTAAGCCCTAGACTCCAACAAGCCCCTAATAACCCAAGACTGCATCTAAGCAAAGCAACCTTAAGGACGAAATGACCCTTAAAAGTAGGGGCCCTATAGAATCATACTATGAATCCCTATATGGTATATGAGCCCTAAACCCTTTCAGGGCTCTTTTCGTCCTTAAGCAATAAGCGCCTCCGCTTCGCAGAGCTCCTCCCGGCTGTAGCCCAGGGCTGCCAGCGAAGGGACCTTTGGGTTTAGGGTTTCTAGGGTTATAGGGTTTATACGGTTTAGTATTTATAGGGTTTATAGGGTTAGAGGGTTTAGGGTTTATAGGGCTTAGGGCTTAGGGTTTCTAGGGTTATAGGGTTTAGGGTTTATAGGGTTGAGGGTTTATAGGGCTTGGGGTTTATAGGGTTTAGGGCTTATAGGGCTTAGGGTTTATAGGGTTGAGGGTTTATACGGTTTAGGGTTTAGGGCTTAGAGCTAGAAACGACCCCCAAAGATCTCCGAGGGAGGAGGAGAAGCAGCGTGAAGTTGAAAAAAAGCAGAGGGTTTCTGCGATATGATTTATGGTTTAAGGAGTGTTCCTAAGCAGGGGGTTTAGGGTTTAGGGTTTATCTGTGGAAAGCCTAAAGATCAAAACTGCTGCTCAAGGTGCGTCCCCCCACCATGCCTCGTCCACGTCAGGTGGTCTCGAAAGCCCTGGCACGGGAACACGCCCAAAAACCCCCACTACAAAACGAGACACACTGACCTCGAAAGCCCTACCTAAACCCTGCAGCCCCAAAAGCCTCAAGCCCGCAAACAACAAGCCTCTAAGTGAAAAAATCCGGGGCCTCCCGACTTTGGCAGGTGCTGCCACTCAGCCGCCACCGGGCGGACCCTGCAGCTGCGTATCTCGCGCTTGAAGGAGCCGAAGGACAGGGACGGATTGATCCACCTCCTCACATGGCTTTCGGGCTCCAGGGGCTTAGGAGGCCTTAAGACGGTGTAGGGTGTGGGTTTCAGGTCTTCCGAGGACTGTGAACGAACAGGATGACATTCGAATGGAGTTGCCAAGCAAACCAGCACTGTGCAGCCCTATAGGGCTTTTGGGTTGATCCTGTGGGTTGCTCATGCTTTTTTCCTGCTCGTAGTATGCAAGCCAGGCAGAGGTTAACTGACTTGTTTCGGAAGCGCGTGAGGGTAATGCAAAGCAGGGTCGCCTTCTGCAAGCTTGCCATTCCGAGGCGGAAAAGAAGTCTATCAACAGAACATCGGCCAGGCCCGTCATGACAGGATTTTGTCTACGCCCCCGTTCCCGAAGGATCAGCATTTGACGTATCGTGAAAGACAAAGTTGAGAAGCCTCTCGACACATCTTCCGTCCAAAGCCGCAACCTAATAGCCCTAAGCTCTAGACCCAACACCTGAAACCTAAGCCTAAACCCTAAACCCTAAACCCTAAACAGTGAACCCTAAACCCTAAACCCTGAACTGTAAACCCTACAAGATACACTATGTCACTGCTACCGAGGAGCTTTGGGTAGGGACCTCCGCTCCTTCTCGAACCCCTATACGGCCCTATACCCGTAAACCAACCAAATCCTAAACACCTAACCCTAAGCCCTAAACCCCGACAAATACCCGGACAAAAATCCAAACACATACATACCCCTAGAAAAACACCAACAAATCCTAAACCCTGAACTCCACCTCTCAAAAAACCCTACCTAAGCCGTAAACCCCAAGCCCTAAAAGCCCTAAGCCCTAAGCCCTAAACCCTAAGCCGTATAAGCCCTAAGCCCTAAACCCTAAGCCCTACAAGCCCCAAGCCCTAAGCCCTCAACCCTAAGCCCTGTAAGCCCTAAGCCCTGTAAGCCCTAAGCCCTAAAGCCCTAAACCCTTCGCCCTAAGCCCTATAAGCCCGAAACCCTAAACCCTAAACCCTAAACCCTGAACCCTATAAACCCTGCCCTACACCCTATAAACCCTAAAGCCGTACGCCACGGAATGCTCAGGTTCGTCTTGGACTTC